CGATTCTAAGCATTTTTCGGATGTTTTTTGGGGTTTTCGTTTGTTTGATCATTGTTTTGTTTGTTAGTTTTTGAATTCGTTTTTTTGGAAATTTGCACTTGACTGATTTTCAAAAAAAAAAAAAAAAAAACATTTTGCAAAGAAGACTACTAAACAAGAAACAATAAAAGCTGGACAAAAAGAAGTTGCGCACACAAAAGATAACAGAAAAAAAGAAACCAACAAATCAACATAACCCGAATATCCTGAAAAGTGATAATGAAACAGATTAAAGGTATGGCGCTCATTAATGTGTGTCCATGTTAAACGGATTTTGGTAATTCGGGTGAATAACAATTTCGCGGTTGTTAATTTTCACAGCAATTAAACTCATTTAACCGTCGCCATTGAAGGTTAATTATTTCGCAATTGTTGTAGCACAAAAAAAAAACAAAAAGAAATATAAAACAAAAGCAACAACCGAAAATAAATCGAACACCAAAACGAAACTGTGCAAAAGAATTTCGCAATAATGCTTCTGTTATGATCCAGTTAAAAATTTACATATGTTGTGATGTAAGTTGTTGTGAGATATTTTCTTCCACCAACTCCTGTTAACGGTAAGTTTTAATCGAGTATGGTAAAAATTAATATTCAATAGTGCATAATAATGTTATGGAAGAATATAAATTGAAATTTCATCTGAATATTTCCAAGGCATTTATTTTTCCAAGGGAATGGGGGATTCCCTTAAATGAGAATTTAAAAAAAGATAACTTAACCTGTTACATTGGGGGATAAGATAAGACAAGAAAAAACCAGTGAGCGGAGCAGTATAGTCTGACGGGGCCGACCATATGATACCCTACACAACTACCACGAAAAGCACTCTTTTGGCGGTTCTATATTCTGAGCCTAGGCAATATTTCGTGATATTTGCACCCTTTTTACCGATTATAGATCAACAACTACTCTTCCTAAGTCTTGCATATTTTCCAAAATATTTTTTCTCGAAGTGAATTTTTACACCATAAAATAAAAAATTGGTCACATTAGGTTTAGGTTGATTTGACCCTCGGAAAATTGTATTTGGTCAGATCCCCTTCACCTTGTAAAATATGTGATGTTCTGCATATAATAATTGCCTCTAGAGCGACTAGAAAATCTGACAAAATTAAAGTTTTCAATTCATTGCACCCCCTGAATGACCATAATCGGAACGCGACATTTCCGTCCTCTAATGGAGTAATAGTAATAATATGCACATAGTCACCTTTACTTAATTACGTATAACTCCCGCATCGGAGTACATACAGCCATATAATTGGTATCAATTTGAAGGTCAACGACTCATCTTGGACATACTATCAACACCTCGAGTATATATCCTTCAGGAGCAAGTATATACGCCCCAGAATAAATTTTTTGTAATTTTTCACACAAAAGTCAGGGTCCATTTGACCCGCTAAATATTGACCGTTCTTTATCAAAACCGGCATGCTTATTCTTTGACCCGATCCCCTTCTCCATGCAGAATTTTACGATGTTCGGGCCATTTTTGCGGCCTCTGGAGCGACCAGAAAAACCGACAAAAAATTAGTATTTGGTCCATTCCATCCCCTAAATATTAACTGATCTTTCCCAAAAACAATAGGAATCTTCATTGGCCAGAACCCATCCTACATGCAAAATTTCGTGAAGATTGGTCCATAACTGTGGCCTGATAGATTTGTTTACATCAATTTTTGAATATGATATCTCTCAAATGGCCGCCTCTGGCGTTGATGACGTATTGTGCCCTTTTTGCTGCATTTTCCATCGTTTTTGCCAACATTTCGGCCGGAATTGCGGCTATTTCTTCACGAATGTTGTCCTTGAGCTCTTCTACGGTCCTTGGCTTGTTAACGTAAACCTTTGAGTTCAAATATCCCCACAAGAAGAAGTCAGGCGGCGTCAAATCGGGCGAACGCGGTGGCCAGTCCAAATCACCACTTTTCGACATCAAACGGCCCGGAAACAAATTCTTCAGAAAATCGATTGTTATGCGACTTGTGTGCGGTGGTGCGCCGTCTTGTTGAAACCAGAACTGCCTCATACGCTTTCGACGAATAATTGACATCACAAAATTGGTCATCATGTCGCGATAACGCTCCTGATTGATGGTAACAACATGGTCATTTTCATTTTTGGAGGAAAAATAAAGGAAATAATAGTCTTTATATAAACCAGCCGCAAACCATAGACTGGTGGTATATATCTGTCGGCGACACCGATTGACCCTTTTTACTTGTTATTATAAAGTTTGAAATTTGACATTATGTGTGAAAGATCATTTAAACTACCTCCTCGCGAACTGGTGCAATCATTAATTCATTTGAAATGATTTTCGACCACTTTTTGACACACATTTTTGGTAGGAAGAGGACAAAATAAAAGCCCACCAGTTGTGTGGGGCTATATTGATCAGTTTTGGCATGAAGATTTGCTACCTAATGTAAATTAAAACCAGTGAGCGGTGCAGTATAGTCGGACGGGGCCGACCATATGATACCCTACACAACTACCACGAAAATCAAACTTTCTGCGGTTCTATATTCTGGGCCTGGACAATATTTCGAGATTTTTGCACCTTTTTTACCGATTATAGATCAACAACTTCACTTTCTAACCCTGGCATATTTTCCAATTTTTTTCTTGAAGTGAATTTTTACGCCGTAAAATAAAAAAAAATTGGTTTGGTTTGATTTGAACATCGGAATATTGACCGATCATCATCTAAACAGCCGCTCTAAGCATTTGGTCAGATCCCCTTCACCTAGTAAAATATGTGTTGTTCTGCATAATTGCCTCTAGAGCGACTAGAAAATCTGACAAAATTAATGTTTTCCGTTCATTGCACTCCGTGAAAGAAATCTCAACTTCACCGAAAACTATAGGCGTCGTCCTTGACCATAATCGGAAGTTCATGTACAAAGCGCGACTGTACACAGCGCGACATTTCCGTCCTCTAATGAAGTAATAGTAATATTATGCATATAGTCACCATTACCTAATTACGTATAACTCCCACATCAGAGTACATGCAGCCATATGTTTGGTATCAATTTGAAGGTCAACAACTCCTCTTGGATATACTTCTCGGCTCTATGTCCTTCAGGAGTAAGTATATACGCCCCAGAATAAAAATGTTGTAATTTTTCACACAAAAGTCAGGGTCCATTTGACCCGCTAAATTTTGACCGATCTTTATCAAAACTGGCATGCTTATTCTTTGGCTCGATCCCCTTATCATGTCAAATTTCACGATGTTCAGACCATACCTGCGGCCTCTGGAGCGACCGGAAAAACCGACAAAAATTAGGTATTTGGTCCATTTCATCCCGTAAATATTAACAATAGGGGTCTTCATTATACAGAACCCATCCTACATGCAAAATTTGGTGAAAATTGGTCCATAACTGCGGCCTGTATCGTGTTTACAAACTATAATGGACAGACGGACGGACACACATGTCTAGATCGACTCAGCTAGTCGAGATATGATCGGTATACTTAAAGGTGGGTCTAGGACCAATATTTCGCGGCGTTACAAACTTTTGGGGCTGCACATAGCTATAATACCCTTACAATAAGTTGTGTAGGGTATAAACAGTAAGGAAAGTAGTAAAGTCTGACGGGGCCGACTATACCCTAATATACTATACAGGGTTGCCCATATTCGACGGACCCATGTTTTTTTTTTTAATCAAAGAAAAAAAATTGGCATTTGGCAATGTTAATTATTTAATTTGTTCCAAGTAGATTTCTTTACATCAATTATTGAATATGATATCTCTCAAATGGCCGCCTCTGGCGTCGATGACGTTTTGTGCCCTTTTTGCTGCATTTTCCATCGTTTTTGCCTACATTTCGGCCGGAATAGCGGCTATTTTTCACGAATGTTGTCCTTGAGCTCTTCTACGGTCCTTGGCTTGTTAACGTAAACCTTTGACTTCAAATATCCCCACAAGAAGAAGAAGTCAGGAGGCGTCAAATCGGGCGAACGCGGTGGCCAGTCCAAATCACCTCTTTTCGACATCAAACGGCCCGGAAACAAATTCTTCAGAAAATCGATTGTTATGCGACTTGTGTGCGGTGGAGCGCCGTTTTGTTGAAACCAGAACTGCCTCATACGCTTTCGGAGAATAATTGGCATCACATTGGTCATTGTCATTGTCGCGATAACTCTCCTGATTGATGGTAACAGCCTTTATATAAACCAGCCGCAAACCATAGACGGCGGCACCGATTGACCCTTTTTACTTGTAATTATAAAGTTTAAAATGTGGCATTATGTGAAGAGAACAAAATAAAAGCCCACCAGTTGTGTGGGGCTATATTGATAATTTTTGGCATGAAGACTTGCTACCTAATGTTAATTTAAAACACCATATTAAAGCCAATTCGGTTTGAAAACGTGTCCGAAAATGAACCAATACCGATACTTTTTGATTGAAAGATTTACTACCCAATAAAAACTCAAAGTACCAAATTGTAGTAAATTCGGTTTAAGATCGTGCCAACAGTCCAAAAAATTCCAAATATTTGGAAGTACCGTTATATGGAGGCTATCGTAAAAAGTTTACCAGCACTGGTAAATTTTAATAGGAAGATGTATCAGCCAATGACAAACCAACATACCAAATTATAACCCATTTGATTGAAAAACGTGCCCCAATGCTAAAACGGCGCTGTATTTTTATATTTGAATATTTTTATAGACAACCGAAATAGTCGCCGATTTATTATAAAATCTTACAGAACCTTTATGACTAAACCATACATTCAAATATAAAATATTTATTTTCAAGTTTCCAACCGCAGTATATTGCGGTCTCAAGTAGAAAAAAAAAAAAAAACAAAAACATAAATGTATAAAGAAATGAAAGAATATTATTCTTCTAATACTCTCAATTAGAAATTAAACGTCTACAAAAGAACAGCTTTACGAATAGAAAAAAGAAACAACAATTGATTATAAAATGACAGCATCAGCTTATAAAGATTTCTATACCGTTGAAATAGGTGATACAAATTTTACAATACCAATACGATATGAAAATCTACTACCGATTGGTATGGGTGCTCAAGGAGTGGTGTGTTCAGCCCTAGATACCGTTACCAAAACTAATGTGGCGATTAAAAAATTATCGAAACCTTTTCAAAATATTGTTCAAGCCAAGCGGGCCTATCGTGAGCTGAAACTAATGAAAGTGGTCAATCACAAAAATATCATCAATTTGTTGGCTGTTTTTACACCGAATGAGAGTTTTGACGATTTCCAAGATATTTATTTGGTAATGGAACTAATGGATGCAAATCTCACAGCCGTTATTGGCATTGGTTTGGATCACGACCGTCTATCGTATCTGATATATCAAATACTATGCGGCATTCGTCATTTACATTCGGCCGGGATTATACATCGTGACTTGAAGCCATCCAATATTTGTGTGAATGCCGATTGTTCGTTGAAAATTCTCGATTTTGGTCTAGCTCGCACCGCGGCCGAAGCGACTTTTATGATGACACCATACGTGGTGACACGTTATTATCGAGCACCGGAAATAATTCTTGGTCTGCCGTATAACGAAAATGTAGACATCTGGTCTGTGGGCTGTATTATGGGTGAGCTAATACGTGGCAGTGTTTTATTCAAAGGCTCCGATTATTTGGATCAATGGATGAAAATTATCGAACAAATCGGTACACCAGAGAGAAGTTTCTTTGCCGATTTATCACCAAATGTTCGACAGTATGTTGAGAGCTTAGCGCGACATGAGGGCTACACCATCGAACGGTTATTTCCCGATGCATTATTTTATTTCGACACAGAAAGTGTCGATGAAAGTGATCTAAATGAATATCAACAGAATACAGACGCTGCAAGAGATTTATTGGCTCGAATGCTTAGTATCGACCCAAAACATCGCATTTCTGTTGATGAAGCCTTACATCATAGCTACATAAATATGTGGTATAAGGAGGAGGAAGTTAATGCACCCGTACCGCATATCTGTAATAATGTGGATATCGAGCAGGAAGAGCACAATATTATGGAATGGAAGAAAATTATTTATGATGAAATAATCGGTTCGCCAAGAGAGTTAATATAATTTGATAACTTAAATTGTTTATACGTTCTTTTTTGTTCGCATTTGTGTTTGGGACACCTAGTCGAGGGTAAAATTCGATTTTTTAGACTTTTGGATTTATTGTCTTAAACAAAATAAAACGGGTTGGTATTTGAGATAACAAATGTATGTCAATACATTTGGCCTTGGTTTTGAGTGGTTATTTTTGAAAATGGATTTTGTTTTTATTTGAATGTTCTTGCTATCTACAGAGGTTTTTAAAAGGGACTTCTAAAGTAATACATAAGTGAGTCGTTTATTTTGAAAGTGATTGAAGTCCTTTTTTGGGTGCTGTATACTAAGCTGTACGTTTTCAACCAAAGTTTTATGGTTTTTCAAAATTATTACGCCTAGTAGTATTTGGTACAAACACTCTTACATATGACAGATGTGGTTTGAATACATAAATATTTACATTTCATTGCTAGAAGCTTTATTAGGCATAACTGAAATGTTTACCAGTTATTAATTTATATAGATATATGTGGAAATATATATGTGGCAAATGCTGTAGTTTAATCTAATTGAAAGTATTGATAAACGTACATTCCTACATTTGTATATATCGTTTGTGGGCATGTTCATGATTTGAATATGCAAAACAAACTTAAGAACATACACAAACATTAAAAAAAAACTTCAATTACGATGGTCATATGAGAACATGATTTTTTGTAAGCTATTGAAGAATACGAATATGTGATTTCAAGAAGATGGTGTCACATGTCAACACAACTCGAGTGAATTTTTAGTCAAAGGCAAAAGTCGAATAGTCAAAAAATCGACTTTTTGGTCAGGGAAAAAATCGAAAAGTCTAAAAGTCGACTTTTACGCTCAACTACGCATCCCTACTCGTAATATGTGTCAAAAAATGGTCGAAATTTATCTCAAAAAAATCAATGCTTGCAACAGTTTGCGTGAAACTCATTTAAACTTTGTAATAAAAATATAAATTGTAAAAAATTATATTTAATTTAAGTTTACTTTTAAAGCCACGGCAGACTAGGTAGAAACTGACCAACTAGCCCCACTTTGGGTGTCAGTGAAGCAGGTTCCACGTTGGGCGCCAATAAAAGAGCTCGTGATTAAGATATGAGTCCATCAAATGGGGCAAGCTTGAAGCGGAGTGACTTTATTCAATTTATTTGGATTCAATTTCTTAAAATGACTTTCGTCTAATAATGGCTCTTATATCTACTTAGCATTACTTATTATACCCTACATAACTATGTTGTCAGGGTATTATAACTTGGTGCAGACCCACCTTTAAGTATACCGATCTTCACATCTCGACTAGCTGAGTCGATCTACACATGTGTGTCCGTCTGTCCATTATAATTTGTAAACACGATACAGGCCACAGTTATGGACCAATATTCACGAACTTTTGCATGTAGAATGAGTTCTGGCCAGTGAAGACCCCTATTGTTTTTGGAAAAGATCGGTTAATATTTAGGGGGTGAAATGGACCAAACACTTTATTTTTTTCGGTTTTTCTGGTCGCTCCAGAGGCCGCAAATAGGGCCTTAACACCGCGAATTTTTGCATGGAGAAGGGGATCGGGCCAAAGAATAAGTATGCCTGTTTTGATAAAGATCGGTCAATATTTAGCGGGTCAAATGAACCTTGACTTTTGTGTGAAAAATCACAAAATTTCTATTCTTTGGCGTATATATTTGCCCCTGAAGGACCTACACCAGAGAAGTTGATAGTATTTTCAAGAGGAGATATTATATATATGAGATATTATTTAGAAACCCATTTCCACACTAGAGGGCGACATTATAGCGCTGATTGCTTTGAAAATTTCCATGAGATTCCAGTTGTGGTCAAAAACAACTCCTATAATTTTCGGTGATGATCACATAATAATATTGGGATGAAATGGACCGACAACTTAATTTTTTGTGTTTTTTCGAGTCGATCTATAGGCCACAATTGAAAGCCGAACATCACAACAAACCCACGGTGAAGGGAATATGGACAAGTAATTAGAAGGACTGAATATTAGTAATATTCGGAAAATATGTCAGTGTAAGGAAAAGGTGCTGTTGACCTCTAATGGGGCAAGAGGGTGCAAATATCACGAAATATTGTCCAGGATCGGAATAAACACCAGCAGAAAGTTAGAGTTCCAAGGTAGTTGTGTAGGGTATCGTATGGTGGCCCCGTCCGACGATTGAAGTTTTAGAAGATTATATTGAAAATAAAAATATTTTTGAAACAATAACCTCCATAACATTTGCGCGCAATAAACTAAAAATGAGATCACGAACAAATTCGGAGTCAACAAATTTTTCTCTATATATGTAACAAAAATCATTGACGTAGTACGAATAAAAACGTTTTTATACTCTACACAACTATGTTGTCAGGATGTTATAGCTTTGTGCAGCCCGAAGAGTTTGTAACGCAGCGAAATATTGGTCCTAGACCCACCTTTAAGTATACCGATCGTTATATCTCGACTAGCTGAGTCGATCTAGACATGTGTGTCCGTCCGTCCGTCCATTATAATTTGTAAACACGATACAAAAAATCTTCACGA